CCCCAAAACCCCAAAACCCCAAAACCCCAAAACCCCAAAACCCCTAAAGTAAATATCGAAATAGAAAGTTATACTTTTAAGTAAATGGAAAGTAGTGAGGCTTGTATTAATTTTTGTAGGCCCTATTGTACCAAACCAAGCAGAGGTTCTTGAAAGGCTAAAGCTTATGTACGAGCAGATGAGCGAATTCTTCATCATTCAAAGTTACAGATCTCGAATTGAGAGTGATGGTGTTATCAGGGAACTTGACTCCACTGAATTTTTAAAAATTTTCCGAAACGTATATAGTATCTAAACTCTAGGCATTTCCTGAACTCATTACTGCACAATCGAGTGATTTTGAAAGTAATTTCATCAGACAGACTGCTAAAAACAATATTTCAGTTGAAGATGTCATTATGAAGAGTGAAGGAAGTGATGGTATGGCAAATAACAGTTCTGACATGGACTGTGACACTAGTGAGCCATGCGCAATTACACCTGTACTAAATATGCAGAACAGAGCGCAATCAAGAACAAACACTAAAGCCCCAAGGAATTATAGAGCACCTAAAAAGATCCCAAATTGTAGACAATCTTTAAATTCGAGACAATTCACCAATCCAAGAATGAATTCAGCATGAAGACAACATTCAAACCCAAGACAGCACACAAACCCAAGACAGCACACAAACCCAAGACAGCACACAAACCAAAGACAACACGTAAACCCAAGACAACACGTAAACCCAAGACAACATATAAACTCAAGACAATCTTCAAACCCTAGAAAGAATTCAAGTTTTAGAGGGCAAAGAGATCCTAGACAAAATCAGAATCCCAGACAGCATTGCAATCCTCGTCAAAATCAGGCTCCTTGGCATTCCAACCGCAACAATCAGATTGAAAGTATGCTGTTGACTCATATCTAGTTATCCATGAGATAGTGGATTTAGGGATTGACAAACCAATTTATGGCTGCAAAGAGATCCTAAATCTTGATGGAACTCCAATGTTGAATAAGAGTCAATCCAACTCTACATTCAATGCCAAGAACCCTCAAAAAGAAAACTCATCTAACCCCAGTGATCATCCCTTAGACTCCTCTTTAAGAACCCTCTCAACAGAGTAAGCTCTGCTTCAACTCTCTTAGATGTCCAGGCACCGATCCCCGAAACTCAGAAGAATTCAAGCAACTGTCTTCTCATGGCCGCATGTAAGCAAGCGCAAATAAATATATTGTTTGGAAGACAGAATTTTATATTTTTGAGTGGAATCACTGAAAATGTACTGACATTCAACTAATATATGTTTAAATGGGGTTTTGGGGTTTTGGGGTTTTGGGG